ACAGGACAGAAGACATGGAATATAAATAAACTATTCCCCTTTCTGACGCTAGAGCTAAGAATCTCAGTTTACTCATATGGGATGACTTACACAAATCATTGTTTAAGGAAGAAGTTGAAAAATACCAATTGCATGAGTAAACTGTGGAATGTGGATACTTGTTCTCTCTGATAAGAAGAAAGAGCAGTCATAAAATAAGCTTATCAGCGGCATCTTGCTGGAGGCGCTAAAGCAATGAAATGTCATCCTGAAGTCACTTGCTTCCTTCCTGTCCCTTCCAGCTCGGATCAAGTTGGCTCCAGATGTCAAGTGCATGCCCCATGTGTGGCCAAATACCACATGTTTTGCAAATGCTATTTATTTCACGTGGCTACAACTCAGACAGGATGTTGAGCCCTTCCCCAATTTGAACACTAACACCAGTATTATGCACTTCCTTAAAAACTCTGCAGCAGATAGGAAAAGGGCTTTCATAATCACAACTTGAACTTGAACATTAGACATGCTCCATAAAAGGCTGTCTTAATCATTGTGGGCTGCCAAAATCAATGACCATAGAAAAGGTGGCTTACCAAACATTCATTTTCTCACAGGTTTGCAATCTGGGTATCCAAAACAAAGGCCTCAAGAAGAGGTAGAGTCTGCGGACCACACTCCTCCAGGCTTGCAGATATACCTTGCTAGTTTTTATCCTCACAGAACAGAGATCCTGTTTTTCCAACTTTTTTTTTTAATAAGGTGACAAATGCCATCATGAGAACGTGACCCTTACAACCTCATCTAATCATAATTACTTCCTAAAAGCTCTATCACCAAATGCTATCCCACTGGGAATCAGCATTTTAACATATGAATTGGGAGCAAGGGGAACACCAACATTAAATCTACAACAGCCATCCTAGCACAGAGGTGGTTTTGCCTACTGAGCCATGGTGACACTCCTAGGTACTGACAGACCCAAGGAATATGACCTGGGCTTCAGAACACTGGTTCCATTACAGCTCCATCCCCTCAGCCAGCCAACTTGGAACACTGGCATCCTGCACACACAGGTATGGTGGCTCCTGTTTACACTATAGAATCCTCAGCCACAGAGCATCTCTCAAGTCCCTCCTCTTATTTCCCTGAAGCCTCTGTTTTTTTCCTCTCTCTCAATCTCAATTTTTCTCTTTCCTCTTTTTCACTGATATTCAGAGACATATCTATAAACTCCACTAATAAACTTTGGCTGAGTGGCTTAACTATTGTTTTTCTTCTGCTTGAGTTCCTGTCACACCCCTTTGGGTCTTAGCTGATGTATGATCTTTCCAAGTAGGAAGAATCCTGTTTGCTATAAAATAAATGTTTATTTCTGTACCTGAAAAACTCATACGTTGAGCCTAGGTCCTCAACGTGATGGTATTTGAGAAGCAGGGGTTTGGGAGGAGATGATTAGGTCATGAGGGTGATGGAGCTTCATGAATAGATGATGAATGGGTTAGTTCCCATTCATGATGGGCTGGGCATATAGACTAACATTTGCTTAGCATGTATGAGGCCCTAGGCTCAATACCTAATCTCATACAAAAAAAGGTACCTAAGAGATCTTCATTGCCCCATCCACCATGATGTGACAACACAGCCAAATGACAGTACTGTCTATGAACCAGGAAATAGACCTCTCACCAGATACCAAATCCACTGGTGCCTTGATCTTAAGACTTCCAGTTTCTAGAACTGTGAGGAAATTGATGCCAATTGTTTGTAAGACACTCAGCCTATGATACTCTATTATAATAACCCTAAAGGACTCGAGACACTGTATAGATAAAACCTGGTAGAAGTTAAGATATTTAAAAATTTGCTAACTTTGAAGACAAACCTATATAGTTACTCCTGGCAGTGACTTTCACAGAGAGAAACATACAAATATAACTCCATGAAAAGCTGAGGCTGAGGAGAGATCAAAAAGTTCTGTCATAAAGTTTGAAGTCCAGAATTGTGAAAGCTGGAGGAGAATTGTACTGCCTTGTTGAATTGAAACCCCTTTGTGCGACTGAAGATAATAATAATAATAATAGAAAAAGTATCTTTTAGAGTCTGATTATATCTTTCTTGGATCCATCTCCCAACATGGTTCTCACCTCAGTGCTTGCTGACATTGGCACTAGACCCATGAGAGGACATGGGAACCATCGATCTCTTCCATGGCATAGGTATAAACACTCAGGTAAAAAATCCAAGACTTTTCACTTTGGAAGAAAACAATTTTCAGCTGTCTCTCCCTCCTCCCTCCCCTCCACAACTTAATTTTCCTATCTCCAAGTTCTGTATAGATCGTTCTTTTGGCTTGGAATCTAGTTGTCATCTGGAAAGGCTCTGAGAAGCCTTGAAGTCCAGCACACCTTTCCTGGGCAGAGCAGCTCATTGTTCTTTTCCCTAGAGCTCCTTCTACATTCTGTTCTTGGAGCCCATATCAGACCATACCATGCATGCCATTGCACAGAAAAAAACCACATCCTCTATCTCCCCAGCTCTCAACCACAGCCTATGCTACAGTGCACTGTATACATTGGTTTGAATTATCTTTCAGCAACAGCATCCCCCTTTTTCCCTGAGAGCCCTTGGTTACATGAGAACAAGGACTTTAGCCACCTGTTCCAGCTATAGCATCATTGTATGTGATTTCTATGGTCTTTGGCAATTCTCTCAGTTCTTCTAAGTAACCAGGAAGGTCATTCTAAGTACCCTCCTTATATAAGTAAAGAAATTGATTCTGAATGATGTGACAACTTCCATGTGAGCCTCTGTCACCCAAGTAAGTACTTACAAACACAACTATCCCCTAGAATTTCCTTATGAAACATTTTGCCATTTCTCTACTTTCCTCCAGAGCAGTAGCAAAAGAGCTCCCATTTCCAGGAGACATTTTAGTGATGTGAAATGCTTTGGGTAAGTCACATAACTCCAAGCGATGTAATTCTGGATTTATTGGCTGAGAGATTTCAAACTTTCTCAAGAAATAAAAAGACCAATCATTTTTAAAATGAAACTTTAGGGGGAAAAGTATCTTTGTACTCTTTTTCATCTTCCATGATGAGCTGTATCTACCAAAGTACTAGACAAAAATCACTAGGTAAGCCCCTAAATCACATATAATACCTCTGATGAGAGATTGCCTGACAATCCAGAGAAGAAATTATGGCTCTCTGAAGAGCTTCACTCATAATGAGAAGATCTAACTTTGGTCTCATATCCTATAAACAATCCCAGGACATCCTAACATGGTAATGGTATCACCTGCTTCAAAACTGCACTAAATAGACTACCGATTTGGCTGATGTAACATAGACCCCAATTAACACTGTCAAAGTGGCATGTTATTTGTCTTGCTTGGCCTGGTACCGTGCTTCCATAATCATGAGGGAGTAAAGCATAGGGTGTGGATGGCTTGTAATCCTAGCTACTCAGGAGGCTGAGACCCAAAGGATTATGGTTCAAAGCCAGCCTGAGCAGAAAAGCCTGAGAGATTCCATGTCCAAAATAACCAGCAAAATGCAGGGCTGAAAGTATGGTTTAAGTGACTGAGTGCCAGCTTTCCAGAAAGCAAGCCAAACAAACATGAAGCCCTGAATTTAAACCCCAGTATCACCAAAGTAAATAAATAAATGCACCTGGACTGCGGTAAAACACTTGGGAGCTCCTCAAGCCTCCTCAAACCCTGGCACCCTTTTGAATCAGCCAACACAGAGAAGTATCCCTGATGTGGAATTTGCTGTTCTAACTCCAAAGAAGTCAACTCTGCTTCCTTTTTTTTTTTTTTGTGATTAGAAGTGTAAGATGCAAGTATTCAAACTCTGCTTTGCAAGGACTGATTTAGTGAACCTGAGATGAACCTTAAGAATTTTAGCCATATAAACAGCCTAGAGGGTTTAGCAATTACCTCTCATCAGAACCTCGAATGTTCCTGACAGTTTTTGCTTCTATGGGTTCATAATACCATAAATATGTAAGTATGTTTTTCTTCCTGATGCTCAGCCCAGTTTCCTCAGACTTCCCTATAACAGAGGTCAGGAGACTTAGTACAGCCCTGGAATAAGATTAAATGTATGGTAGCATGCTTCATGTGAATTCAAAAGAGATCACTTCTCTTTTCTGACAGGGATAAAAAGAAATTCATTTGTCATGGGGGTCACAAGCATGTAGCTGAGACCCTATTAATTTATTCTATTAATTCACCATATTGTGCCAGGCAGTTGCAATTACAGTTGCTAGCATGTTGACTTTGCACTGGGCTGTTATAATCTAGGACCATCTGGCTTTCATAAAGACCATACTAATGAATTAATGAGTATCTATATTACCACCAATCTTGTGTCCTTTAAGTCTTTTAGAAGGGTACTGATCTCTGTGCAGGCAATGTTGTTTTTACACTAGCAGTGAAACTAAAAGACATTCTGAATAGAATGATAATGAAATACATCATCACAAAATTTATGGAAAGCAGCAGATATAGTATTTCAGAAGAAGAAGTTAGGTCATAGCTTTTAGTTCTTTTTCTTTTCTAATTTTACCATTCAAAGGTAATATTTCTCTTCTAGTTTTAAGATGCTTCTAGTTTCTTTTGTATTATCTTTGTGAAGCCTTGGACTATTCAGAGGGGTGTTCTTAAATTTTAATTAATTAAAATTACATTTACTATTGCTAAGTTAATTCTGATTTTGATAAATACTCACTGTGTGATTAAAGCCTTTCTAAAATACAGAGAATTGTTTTGTGACCCAACTTAGAGGTTCCCTTAGTGAATGTTCTCAAACTTTAAAAAACAAAGTGAATTTTCCTGTTGCCAGGTAGAGTGGGCTCCAAATATCAATTAAGAAAATTGAGGTCCAGAGAGAAAGGGACTTACCTAAGGTCCTTCCTTTCATCTCCCCACATTGTCAAAGGTTTATATCTCTGTCTATAATCAACAGTCTGTCAAAACTCTAAAATTTGAGAAGTAAAAGCTGAGCTTCCCACAGGATTCCCCCAATGGGTGTGAGTCAAAGGGAAAGTCCCCTGGGGACAGTCACCAGCAAACACTGCAGCTTCAGACAACAGAAGGCCAGCAGCCAATGCTGCTGCTGCTGCTGCTGCTGCTGAACAAGATAAATGCCAAGAACTCAGTACCTGAAAAGGGTAGAGTAGGATCAAGAGGAGGTATGAAATTCAATGTAAGCCTACAAAATTACAAAAAGTAATGGCAGGGGCAGGGGTGGGAGGAATGAAGAGAATGGGAAAACTTAAGTTCCAAATGCACAAAAATATTCTTTTAAAGTGACAAATTGAATTGTACCTAAGAATTACAGTGAAGAAGCTCATGAACAAAATTAACAGAAATACATGACTTGTTGGGAAAAGATAGATGTGAAAGGTCTAAAACCAATCAGGAATTAATATCTACCATTTATGAGACAATCTTGCAAAAGGAGAAGCGGCAAACAGCTGCTCCAACAGAAATGTAGCAACGGGGTATTAACAATTTTCATTAACAACCAGCTAATATGTTATGAAGAGATGCTCAAAGTCATTAGCAATCTGCCTAGTGTAAAGGACACCTTAGATGCAGGAAAAAATTGTAAACATTTACACTCGCTCAAATGATTCAACCTGAAAAAGTTACCTGAAAAGCAATGTAGAAAGAGAGCGGTCAGGATGTCCCAGTGGGGGGCTGTCCTGGAAGACAGACAGATTTGCTAAAGGACAAGCTGTCAACACTTAGTCCCACTTCCCATCCATGTGCCAAGCAATCTTTCCTCAGGGTATATTGCACAGAAAATTATGACACAGATTTGTCACAAAATGTCCCTTAAGATTACAGTTCATTTTTGTGTGGCAAATAGTGAAGAAAAAGAAATGGATGGTGGGCAGTAGGAAATGGGGAAAAGGAAAATGATTTTGACACCCTACCCTGTAAAAAGAGTAGGCAAAAGTATCTTCATGCACACCTAGAAATACCAGAAATACTAGAGACGCAACATTCTCATAGTGACATGGGTAGATGTTTGAAACATTGCCTTTGATGAAAAAAAAAAAAAAGGAAAGCACAATTGGGTCGTACTTACATCTATTCAGTATATGCACATGATATACTATGCATTTTAATAGAACCTGGCACAGTGGAGTACACAGGAGTAAAACCTTCTTTTTGGCCTTCCCTCCTCCTACACCCACCATGCACTTACACTTTCCATGTCAACTGCACTCAAGTGCTAGGGTTCCACAAACTCAGCAGGCTGTTTCACTCCTGAGGTCTCTGTACACACACGGTTCCTTCCCCAATCTTCCCCTCTAGGTCACTGCGGGAAGAACACTGTGAACCTTACTGGCTGATGGATCATCAGAGTATAACCTGCTATGTGGGGGACAGTGTCAGCTCAGTAAATACTGTTGACTTTCAACACAAGTTGGACACCCCCCACAGGGTGTCTTATGCCACACCCCGTTCAGTCCTCTCCCAATCTTTTCAACGTTGAAGCATATCCTAAATCCCCTTGTTACAAGGGTATACTGGAAGGTCAACACTCTGGGAAGATGACTACGGATATAAAGAGTATATGATGGCTTTCATTTCATCACTCACTACTTTTCTCTAAGTACCCTCTCTTTCAAGTATGCCTGCCATCCAATCGTTCAAAGCCCTTCTAACTGGTTACCATTAGTTCCATTCCAAAACTAGGAAACATCACCTGCAATCGTGGGTTAGGGAAAGATCTAGATGTTCCATTATTTTCCTTGTCCAGCCTTTCACCACATATTCCTCTTTTTTTAAAAAAAAAGAAATTCAACTTCATCATGTCTAGAAGTTCCAGGGTCCAGAACCTTTCTGAGGAGGTAGAATATGAATCTCACTCTTCTGCTTCTGTTGCCTTGCTGATCTGTATCCTCAGGTACCTTCTGCTAAAGTCAGTCAGAACAGATGTCTGTCCTTTGTGGCTTTCAATATTCTTCTCATCCCTTCTCCCCTTTGTTCTTGAAAGTTTATGCGACACTATGCTAAATCTTCAATCACTTTTACTTTGTAGGGGTTTAAGGACAGAGCAGGGATAAACGAGCTTGTTCAACGTATCATCTTGCCCCACGTATGCCAACTTTCAGATATTTTTGAATGGTTGAAATGGTCTTTAGTTGGAAGAAAACCTGGTACCTTCGTAAGATCTACCACTTCAATCTGTTGTGACACAGGATCTCCACACATTAAAGAACACCTTGATGTCCCTCTCATACTTTGATTCCTTTGTTCTCCAGATTGTAGGTTTACTTCCCTTCAGGATTAAAATTATTTTCCTGTGGGCAATACACAGTACATCTGATAAACATACAGAAGGCCTTGGAAGAATCTAGGCACAACTCAGTTCCCTCCTTCTAGAGTAGTGTTTTCATTTTGTTCCCCAGACCAGCAGCATCAGCAGGGGTAGACATGAGAATGTAATGTCTCATAACCCATCCTGTACCTACTGGATCAGATACCCTGCAGGTGGGACCCAGTAGTCTGTGTTCATATGAGGAGATCCTGATGCCCAGTCTAGATTGAGAACTACTTAGAGCAACTACAGCCAAGGGCACAAAATGGTAAAGAACGAATCAATCTCCTGTGCTGCAGGAATCATTCACTGATAAGAAGAAGTGATAAACTATATATCTGTCCATTGATGTCCTGTTGATGTAAATTGTATCCCATGCCTGGTAATTCAAGGTTTCCCCATGGAAGAAGGAACTAACTATAAGAAAGCATTTTTTTAAAATGACTTCCCTCCAGTCATGATTTACTCACTCTATATCCTGTACAAGAAGGTTCAGAGAACACATCTGCTCAGGAACCAGACCTACAACATCCTCTCCATTTGGTGTCCTGTGCTATTATTATTCATACCTACAGACTTGAAGGCAGTTGGGGGGGGTGTATGTGTGTGTGTTTGTGTGTGTGTGTGTATGTGTGTTATATGTTGTTCATGGCCTTCAAGATCTTTGCACTCAGAAGTTAATGCTTTAGGTTTTTATCACCACATGTTCACCTGCCAGAGTTGGAATCCCTCAGCCGTTTTTTTATTTCATTGCAGCCTTAGGAAACAAAGAGAGATGATACATTGCAATGGACATTTTCAGCACCACTTTGGGTGTAACTGAGACTCACAGAAGTTTCTACAAGTTTCATCAGAAGAGTTGAACAATCCTACGTATTAAATACTTCATTTTTCATAGGGATATCTTTATTTAAAAGATGTGCACAGAGCCACAAAGACTCTTCTAGACTAACAGATCCAACATATTGAGAAAAAGATAATGGTTCTATCATGGGGGTCTGTACTATTGTCCAATAGGCACAATTATTTACTTAGAGCTAACAACATTCCTGCATTTTCTCCTCCTTTTAAACATGAGGAAGTTAAAGCCTGGTGAGGTTAAACAGCTTAATCAAAGCCAAACTAGTAAATCAACATTAAAAGCCACATTTTTCTATCCACAACAGCAAAATTTTAAGAACTTACTGAAAAGGTTCCACCAACACAAAGAGCTGTTTCAAATGAATGGGCTCCCCGTTCAGAGAGTGTCAGGCAACTTCAAAAGCTATATAGAAGTTTCTTCTGCCAAGAACTCAATCTTAATCTCACCGGCATCCGGAAATATGGTTTGCCTAAGGCCAACTCCAGCCCCTCTGAAACCTAGCTGCACAACACCTCCTCTATGAAGTTCTCTTATTACCCTAAATCAGGGTCAGTTATTTATTGTTCTCTACTGCTATTTATTTACTTCCCTGTCTCTCCTGCAAGATACAAACTCTTGGAAGGCAGAGTTGGATTGATCTCTTTCCTTGTTAATGCTGAGGATAAGCTGAAACATGTAAGATGTATTAAGTTGTTTATTATATCAAAAAGAATGGAGGGAAGAAGGTTGAGCAAATGTAATTTCTATATTTAATATACATTAGGAAAAAATTGAACTATATAACTTGAGGGTAGGGATGAGAGGGGAATACCTGGGGGAGAACGATGGAAGGGGAGGCATTGATCAAGATACATTGAAGAGGAAATAACTTGACTTTTGGAATTGTGACTTCATTAAACAACTACTTAATAATAAAAATAAAAATAAAAAAAATTTTAAGTGAAAAGATATGGATTTCTAAGGAAAGTAACAGCATGAAATATATGACTCTATTACCCATACTATTCTATAAAACTAAAGCTATCAGTCTACAAACATTGGCATTTAAGTCCACTTTCTCTCACCTTTGGGAGTGTTTTTTTTTAAATCTCTGCCAAGTTTGTGTGCCACCTGCCTTCCCTTTTCCCTACTTCCCTTCCTTTTCCTTTTCTCTCTCTTCCTTTTTAACACCTGCAATATAGAACTGAAACTATATATGTAATATTTTCATTTGTGGTAATTTATGATTCAGATATAAATAATGTTTCCTCATTCTTAATCTTAAACTCTAGTGGATGGAACATTTTTATATGTCTAAAAATAAGCTCCAAAACATAAACACCCACAATTTGTATCCTCTGAATTAACAATGTACAGTAAATTGACTTTTTTTTCTTTTCTTTTTTGGTGAGTCAGCAACCATCAATAGGAAAGAAAACAAACTACCCAGTGTTGTTGAATGGTAGGAGATTTCAGTACCTACTAAGTGCCGTGAATATGTGTATATTTATGTATGCATACATATATATGTATGTGTATATGTATGTACACTTATAGTGTTCTAATATTACCCAGGAAAGAAGAGACGAGGTGGGATCCAAACATTAGTCCCATGCTTTGTTTTCTCACATAAAATGAAAAAGGCCATATTAGTAACAGAAGAGGAGGAAATGCCCCTGGCTAACAACACAACCCAGGATTAATAGCTGTTTTTCAGGGAGTTCACCAAGACCATTGGACCACAGTTTTGTAATCATGGGTATAAAGCTTGCAATCTTACACTTCCTATGATTCAGCTCTGCCATCCTACTCGGCTCTTTACGAAATTAAACCGCATTTCAGAAAAGGAAACCATCATCATACTTATAATGCTTTCTGTTATAAAGCAGGCATTATAAACTAAATGTGAAAACCCATGCAGTGACAATAGATTTTTATCCCACCTTCTAGTCACAGAAATGTTGAGTGTGAAATACTTTGAATTCCAAATTTCAGAAACAAAACTTTCTTTGCTGGCTCTGGTTGTTTCTCAGACTGTTTCACAACCTACACACCCCATGCCCCCACTCTCACAGCATTGCTTCCTCTTCTTCTCCAGACCCATGCCATGAACCCAATAGTACACTGTAGAGAGTGCCTGGGAGACCAAGAACATGCGGAAAGGCTCTAGATGCTTTCTCAGGCTCTTCTGGCTGCGTGAGAGTGGAGGAAGCCAGGCAGGATGTCAGCCTCGCCTGGATTCTGGGAATTGCTATTGGCCACAGTTTTCTCTGGCTTTAACCATAGCAGTGGGCAGGATAGAAAGTGCAAGAGATTGTACAGCTGATCCTTTGGACGAATTCTTCAGATAGAAAGCAGGCAGAGTCTTCAAGAGACCTCCTCCTTAACCAGGGCTACATCATTGTGCAGAACCTATCCATCCTAAAGCCCTAGCCACTTGCCCAGGCTCTGATGGATCTGATAGCATCAGTCTCCTCCCTTCAGGCTTCATTCAGTCTCTGTTGCATTCATATCTTCATTTGAGAAGAGACTTGTCCTGGTACATGTGAGGGCTATTCAGAGACAAATCATAAGATTTCTGTTCTTCTAGGATGCCTCTTGACCAAGTTTTAGAGTCAATACACTTTTATAGCTGACCAAGGACTAAGTCAAATCCTGAGTCTGTCAATGACCAGATATTACCTTGAAAAACACCTTTCTCTTCATGTCATCTTTTCTTTCAATTCTTTGTGAGAACAACTCCTTACTCTATTTTCATTTTCTACCTGTCATGTTGCCAACAGTCTGACATAGCCAGTGCTCCAGTACCCCAAATATAAGAACAAATGCATTGTCTACTGTTACCCCCATTTCATCCTTGGCACTGCTCTTTCTGCCAATAGGAACCACCAGTTACAGAAAGTCATCTATAACTCTCCAGATCGAATCAGTACAGTTTCCTGACTGATTCCTAATAAATGATGTATGATTCAGTTCTTTTCTCAGAGGATGATCAGTTCAGGATCCCTATATTCCTGCCAACCTAGCCTCATACTATAACCTGAAATCTACTCTACCTAAAATCCTTCTGACCAAAACACTCTAACACTGCCAACACTGACACCTCCCCCAAAACACCATCAGTGAACTTCTAACCAGGAAAAGTCAATCCTTGGATTGGCACTCAAGACTCAGTTCCCATGTTTCCTCTTGTCAAACTTCTTCACTCTGGGTATGTGTTTATCCAACAAATAATTGTATGGCTGGGAATGAGGCTCAGTGGCATAGTGCTTGTTTAAAATGCCTGGATTTGACCCCCACCACTAAAGACAGACAGACAGACAGACAGATACTGCTCAATTTGAACCAAACACCTTTTCTTCCTAGTGGGAGAGCAAACAGGCAAGGAAACACATGGAGAATTACAAGTCATGAACTTCTGCTTTTTGTTTTTAGGGTTTTTTTTTTGTTGGTTGTGGGCTTGAACTATGGGCCCGGGCTCTGTCCCTAAGCTCTTTTTGCTCAATGCTAGTGCTCTATCGCTTTCAGCCACAACTACACTTCCAGCTTTCTGGTGGCTAATTAGAGATAAAGAGTCTCAGACTTTTCTGCCTGTCTTTGAACTGGGATCCTCAGATCTCAGTCTCCCGTATCTAGGGTTAAACATGTGAGCTACTGGTGCCCAGCTATAAACGTCTGTTTTAATACTACAAATTGATCACAAATTTTTATCTTTTGTTCCTCCCAAGAAAAATGAGCTCCTCCCATACACAAAAATTTGTTTTAAGGTGTAAGTGAAGAGGCAAGCTTAATTCAATTGTGTAAGGGAGGGAAGGGATGGTAGAGGGAAAACAAAGGAGGAGGCAACAATGCTCAATAGGAGATGTACTCATTACCTTGCTCATGTAACTGTAACCCCTCTGTACAGCATTTTTTCAATAAAAAATGTACAAAATAGAAAACACTGCAATAAAAAAGACAGGATATAGTTAGTTGAATAATGACTAACTTGGAAGAATTTTCTTTAAAGTTCAACTTAAAGGGCCTGAAGAGGAGAACATTGAACATAGTCATTCTGTGTGCTCTGACAGAACCTGGCAGGTGAGACTCTCACGAGTACTGATGCCCCTGAAAAGCAGAGATATGAAACCGCTCACCTGAACACAGGTGTTAAAACCTTAGCTCCCCACCACACTGGGCCCCAGAGCCTGATGGCAACTCACAAGCAGAAGACAGGGAGATACATGTCTAGAAAACTATTTAAAGGATTCCAAACCATATACATCAGATACAGAGAAACAGGGGGCTTTCATGCCACGAAGATACATTACCAGGCCTTTCAAAACTGCCAAAAAAGAAATGATGCTAAGAGGTAGGAGCAGACAGAGAAGATTGGAATCATATACCGAATCATACAAATCATATAGAGAATTGTACACAAACAGGAACCTGACTGGAAATCAGCCTTTTGTAAGAAATAACTGGAGAAATCCTTCAAGGTTCTGATGAAGTCTCTCATCTAAAATACATAGGAGACAGATATTTTCAGACATTTTCCTCCCAGTCACACCCTCTTTTTTTGGGAAGTTACTTCAAAACATCCTCTAGTTCAACAAAGGAATAAAGGCAGAAAGAGGAAGATGAAGATGCTCAAAAAAAAAAAAAAGGGAGTCCAAAAAAGGAAAATGGTGAAGTCAACAGGAAGGAGACAGAGAATGACAAGCACAGAAAGATCATCTGAGAGCGGGGCCCAGAAAGAGCTTCAGGACACTGAAAAACCATCCAATAATGGATACCTTTCCATCTCCAGGAGGACAACGGACCCAAGAGAATATAAAAATATAATAAAAAAAAAGAAGGGCACCACAGAGTAGGCCTATAGCAGAATCAAAGTGTCAAAGCAGGTGTATTGCTTTGGCTTAGTAAAGTGCTCCTTTCCAGACTGCAGAAAAGACATGGCCACATGCATAAGCATGTCCCGTGGCTCCTGTGGCAGAAGCCTGTCCGTGTGAAATTCCCACAGGTGGACTTCCTCTTTTAGTTTTCTCTGTAAAGAGCAGATTCTTTCTCTGTTAGAGGAACTGCAATTAATATTTAAGAAAATTGTGTTCTAATTACCTTTCACAATCCCTGCCCTTGGGTTAAAAAGGTACCTAGCTATAATTATTTTTTATGAAATTGCACGTTCGTCTCTGCATATTAATTCTTGCTCCCCCTTTGAAAGCAGCAGGCAGTCTCTACATCGTTGCTGCTGGCATGTCTTGTTGAAATTACTAAGGATTAATTACAAATTATTTTTATTGTACTGGGACCAGGCAGCACTGAATTAATAATGTGCCCTCAACATTAATATTGAGCTAGGCCAAATTCTCAGTGGTTTGGCATAAGAACTCCTTATCGTCTTAAAAGCTGAAGACCCCATCCAATGAACTTGTGTGTTTATGGCTTTACCTACGAATATTATCAGAAATAGAAATATAAACTGAGAAAATTTCAAAATCTTTATTGATTTATTCACAAAAGGGTCCACTGGATATTAGCAT